TATATATATATATATATGTGTGTGTGTGTGTGTGTGTGTGTGTGTACAATATATATATAGAATATATATATATATATATATATATATATATATATATATGAATGAATGAATGAATAACTAAAATAAACAACCAAGTTGAACAGAGGGATAGGATCTTTCCACACACAATTCATTTCAGTGAAGTGGTTCGCTTTAATGATTCAGTTAATTTGTGTGACCACTACCCACTCAGCAAAAACTCGTTGAAAAGACGTAAATGCCAGACGTCTAAACAACGTTAAAATTTGGTTGAAAAGTGAAAGGTGAAAAGACGTCTTTTTCAGGTCGTCGAAAAGACGTCTATAAAAAGACGTCCAAATTACGTCTAAATTTGGTTGAAAAGTTAAAGGTGAAAAGACGTATTTTCAGGCCTAATTACTGTCAAAATAAGACAATTCACAAGAGTACCAAAACATTTATTGACACATTAAATACATCTTTTACGTAAAAAAAAGCTTAAGCCTACATTTTCAAGCATAAAAACAGTAATATTGTGAAATATAACTACAAAAATAATTATTTTTAGGGTTCTAGTCGCGGCGCCTTGCATCTTCTTAATGAAATCAACATTTAGTTTAACAGTGTTGTTTATCACTATGATTTGGTTTCCATCCCATCCACCAAAGAAAGTCCTTACAGCCGAGTGACACACCAACGCTTTGCGATTCGGTTCATTCAAAAGAATATTTTCAACGGAACCGAATCGCCTGGGAATCACTCCAGTACTTACACTCAGAGCGCACACAAGTATTTACCAGAGTGACGGGAGGATGTTTGGATTATAGTACACATCTTTGACCGCAGCAGAACAATCTAACGTTAGCGGTAGAGACAACGAGTGTGGATATACGAGGAGCTTTTTGTTTTGAATTGTACAGATCTTTTATTTTTTAATGGCTTGGAAATGGAGATAGCTTTGGTGAGGTTTGACAAGCGGGGTGATGGAAGCCGTGATGGAGAACCCTACCAAAACCAAAACTCCCTGGATCATCCACGCTTGGTCCACAACAAAGAACTATACTCGAGAAGTCCACAACAGAGCTCATGGAGAATGAACGACATGAACAACACAATGATGGGCTCCACTGAGAATACGGTGGATTATTACAGTCCCCATTTGTTTGATGAGGACATTCTGGACATGGATATGGACCATGAGAACAACGAACGAGTTCTTATCAATATCGCCGGACTGAGGTTCGAGACACAGTTGGGCACTCTGAACCAGTTTCCCGACACTTTGCTGGGAGACCCAGACAAGCGAATAAAGTATTTCGATCCCCTCAGGAACGAGTATTTCTTTGATCGCAACAGACCGAGTTTTGACGGAATTCTTTATTTCTATCAGTCCGGCGGGAAAATCCGACGACCTGTTAACGTGTCAATCGACGTGTTTGCAGACGAAATCCGCTTTTATCAGCTGGGAGAAGAAGCAATGGACCGTTTCCGCGAGGATGAGGGCTTTATCAAAGAAGAGGAGCGACCGTTGCCAAACCATGAATTTCAGAGACAGGTTTGGCTTTTGTTTGAGTACCCAGAGAGCTCTGGTCCTGCCAGAGGCATTGCTATTGTGTCTGTTTTGGTCATTTTGATTTCCATTGTTATTTTCTGCTTGGAGACCCTGCCTGAGTTTAGGGACGACAAGGACCCGACTACTGTCTCTCCTATTGCGAATGCCACTGGCCCTTTCATGTCCAGCACTTTCACAGACCCTTTCTTTGTGATCGAGACCCTTTGCATCATCTGGTTCTCTTTCGAACTGCTCGTGCGATTCTTCGCGTGCCCCAGCAAGGCTACTTTTTCCAAAAACATCATGAATATCATTGATATCGTGGCTATCATTCCTTACTTTATCACTCTGGGGACGGAGCTGGCCGAGAGTCAAGGCAACGGCCAGCAAGCCATGTCGCTCGCCATCCTCCGCGTGATCCGTCTGGTGAGGGTCTTTCGCATCTTCAAGCTATCACGCCACTCCAAAGGTCTCCAGATTCTCGGCCAGACCCTAAAAGCCAGCATGCGGGAGCTGGGACTCCTCATCTTCTTCCTCTTCATTGGGGTCATCTTGTTTTCCAGCGCAGTCTACTTCGCCGAGGCCGATGACCCTACCTCCAGTTTCAGCAGCATCCCTGATGCTTTCTGGTGGGCTGTGGTTACCATGACTACAGTTGGTTATGGGGACATGCATCCAGTAACCATTGGAGGCAAAATTGTGCACACACACACACACACACACACACACACACACACACACACACACACACACAACTCAAGTGGAAGAGAAAGACTACTAAGCAGAAAAAAGTTATTTTGTAGTTCTAGTTTCTAGTTCAGTTGAAACTGAAATTATAAGCAGTAATGTAGTATCATCAGCAGAATTTAGAAGATACATATGAGATCCTTTATTTGAAACATTAAAAAATGTTCTAGTGTGTTTGCTTTTTAACTTTGAATACAAACTTATCTCCTTTTACTTTTGTAGCTATTTTGATAGTCAGCTCCCGACGCGATGCCATTCACTGTACGCGCAAATTCAAAGCGTCGCGTCTGGGCGCGTCAACGGCGCTGGCGCTTTTTTAAACTCGTAATAAAGCGGTCAATGATCTTTCCAGAAATGATGCTGATCGACAGAACAAGTTTATATGTAGAATTCATGCAATCACTCTAAAATAGATGACGACAACTCACACACCTGCATTAGGAGCTGTACTTCTTTGCATGTCTATTTAGCCGCTTGCATCGCACAGTTCGCAGCACCTGAAGGATGCGTTCGTTACGCAAACATTCAGAAGGCGGGACCCGCTTTGAAACGGCAACATTAAATGGTTTAATTGCAGATGAGTGACAATTCAACTATATCCAATGAACAATGAGGCTAGAATTTGCTGCCCGTCTTGGTGGACTAGCATATAGGGGATGTTACGGTTATGGAGGCCGCTCCTCAAAGCCTGAGGCCCTAGGCAATCGCCTGCTCTGCCTATAGCTAGCGCCGGCCCTGATTCCATATTACTTGACTAAAAATGTCTGTGGTCCATGTGAGAATAAATAAAGTCTTGGTCCTGTGAGAATAAAGTAAAAATTACCATCAGTTTTTAATTGATGCACCTACATGAATCGTCCCTGTATTTTATCTGTGCTCAGTTGAATATTACTCTCTTAAAATAAAAAATCAGAAAATCACATAGCCTATTCAAACACACACAAGAACTTGCTGTGGTGATGCAACTTAGACCGAGGCGAAATGTTGTCAACTCATGTGTGAATGTATGCTAATTTAGCACAGATGCCACACACAATTAATTTCAGTGAAATGGTTCGCTTTAATGATTCAGTTCATTTGTGTGACGCGGGGATTCGCATCTTCTTATTATATATACATTTAGTTTTACAGCGTTGTTTATCACTATATGATTTGGTTTCCACTCCATCCACCACAGAAAGTCCTTGCAGTCGACTGATAAACCAACGCTTTGCGAATCGGTTCATTCAAAAGGATCTGTTCAACAGAACCGAGTCGCCTGGGAATCACTCCAGTACTTAACGCTCAGCGCGCACACATGTATTTACCAGAGTGATGGGAGGATGTTTGGATTGTAGTGCACTTCTTTATCCGCAGCAGAAGAAACGAATCTAGCGGCAAAGAAAACGAGTGTGGATGTACGAGGGGCTTTTCGTTTTGAATTCTACAGGTCTTTTCTTAATGAATATTTAATGGCTTGGAAATGGAGATAGCTTTGGTGAGCTTTGACAAGCGGGGTGAAGGAGGCAGTGATGGAGAACCCTACCAAAACCAAAACTCCCTGGATCATCCACGCTTGGTCCACAACAAAGAACTATACTCGAGAAGTCCACAACAGAGCTCATGGAGAATGAACGACATGAACAACACAATGATGGGCTCCACTGAGAATACGGTGGATTATTACAGTCCCCATTTGTTTGATGAGGACATTCTGGACATGGATATGGACCATGAGAACAACGAACGAGTTCTTATCAATATCGCCGGACTGAGGTGCGAGACACAGTTGGGCACTCTGAACCAGTTTCCCGACACTTTGCTGGGAGACCCAGACAAGCGAATAAAGTATTTCGATCCCCTCAGGAACGAGTATTTCTTTGATCGCAACAGACCGAGTTTTGACGGAATTCTTTATTTCTATCAGTCCGGCGGGAAAATCCGACGACCTGTTAACGTGTCAATCGACGTGTTTGCAGACGAAATCCGCTTTTATCAGCTGGGAGAAGAAGCAATGGACCGTTTCCGCGAGGATGAGGGCTTTATCAAAGAAGAAGAGAAACCATTGCCACAGAATGAGTTTCAAAAACAGGTATGGCTCATCTTTGAGTACCCTGAAAGCTCTAGTCCTGCACGAGGCATAGCTATTGTCTCCGTCATCGTCATAACCATCTCCATAATAACTTTCTGCCTGGAAACTTTACCCGAATTTCGCGACGAGCGAGAGCTTCCAGTGACAAGTCGCGCTGTCAATGGTACTCAAGAGCGTCCATCGCTCACCTTTAGCGACCCGTTCTTCATCATTGAAACCACATGTGTGATTTGGTTCACTTTTGAGCTCTTCGTGCGCTTCTTTGCCTGTCCTAGTAAGTCGGAATTCTCCAAAACCATCATGAACATCATTGACATAATGTCTATCATGCCTTACTTCATCACCTTGGGCACAGAGCTGGTGGAGCAGCAGGGCCAGGAGCACAATAATGGCCAGCAGGCCATGTCACTGGCCATACTGAGGGTCATTCGTTTGGTTCGGGTGTTTCGCATATTTAAGCTGTCTAGACACTCCAAGGGGCTTCAGATCTTGGGGCAGACTCTAAAAGCCAGCATGCGAGAGCTGGGCCTCTTGATCTTTTTTCTTTTCATTGGTGTCATATTATTCTCCAGTGCTGTTTTCTTCGCTGAGGCAGATGAACCCGAGTCTCACTTCTCCAGCATCCCAGATGCCTTCTGGTGGGCTGTAGTGACCATGACAACAGTTGGATATGGTGACATGAGACCGGTGACTGTGGGGGGCAAAATTGTGGGCTCGCTGTGTGCGGCAGACTCTAAAAGCCAGCATGCGAGAGCTGGGCCTCTTGATCTTCTTTCTTTTCATTGGTGTCATATTATTCTCCAGTGCTGTTTTCTTCGCTGAGGCAGATGAACCCGAGTCTCACTTCTCCAGCATCCCAGATGCCTTCTGGTGGGCTGTAGTGACCATGACAACAGTTGGATATGGTGACATGAGACCGGTGACTGTGGGTGGAAAAATTGTGGGCTCGCTGTGTGCCATCGCAGGGGTGTTGACCATTGCATTACCGGTGCCTGTCATTGTGTCTAACTTCAACTATTTCTACCACAGAGAAACTGACCAAGACCAGGCGTCTCTCAGAGAAGAGCCTAATAATGGTGGCCCTTCAAACCCATGTGATGAACTTCATGAGTTGAGGAAATCATCAACCTCTAACTCAAAAGGTGGAGATCACAATGAAGAAACAAACATTCCAGTTGAGAAGACTAACATGAAAACTAACAGCAGAATGGATATTAAACGCTCCCTTTATACGTTTTGCTTGGACACTAGAGAAACTGACCTCTAGTTTGTCCATCTCTACCCCATTGCACTACCGGTGCCCGTCATTGTTTCCAACTTCAGCTATTTCTATCTCAGGGAGACTGAGCAGGAGAAGGCATCTCTCAGAGAAGAGCATAGTGGTGGTGGCTCTTCCAGCCCGTGTGATGAACTTAATGTGTTGAAGATATCTTTAAATGCAAGAGATGAGGAAGAAAACATGTTAGAGAAGATCAACGTGATAAACTGGATATTAAATGTTCCCAAGAAACAGAAACATCTAGTCTATCTATATCCACCATGCTAAGTTAATGCACCCAGATTCTGGATGATCCAAGGATCATCGCACTGTTAAAATCCTGGAAAGTTGCAGTTATTTTTTTAAAGCACATTTTAATCTGTTAATCTCCTGGGCATCAGCAGCTTTTAAGCATTACCTTTATAATTTCTTATTCAGAAACTCACCAAATAATGATTAAAAAAATAATTATGTCAAATTTTAAGAACTGCTGTGATGCTTTGATCACAGGCCTTAACTCTTACACCACCTCTTTTGTTGTTCATAGTTGCCCAGTGATTCAAGTGAAAAGCCAAAATAGGGTTTCTTCTTTTAAAGCATACTACTTAAAAACACATGTACATATTTTTGTAAAATAATTGTTTGGTCTTTAGAGTCTCAATCAATATCACTTTCGTAGTTAGTCTAAAATAATGTTTATGTGTCGTTTGTGGCTATCAGTATTTTATAATTTATTTATAGCAATCTTTTTTCACTCTCAAATTTAAAACTCAGTGGCGTATGAAATCTATGGAGCACTTCAAGGAAAAGGACAACTTTAAGTTGTTTTGCTTCTGAATTCACAACGATAAAGCCTTGTCGACGGATTCAAAATGGATTCAAGTAGAAATGACAGTGTACAGGAGAAGGAAACCTCAACAAATGACTGAACCATGATGATCTACTGAAACCAAGAGGAGAACTAAAAGATGTGATCCAGTGATCAATTAAGGTCAGTCTCCTTTTTAATTATTCACTGTTTGTTTCATTTGTTTATTTTTTTTATTTGATTTCTTTTTAATTTATGAGTTTGACATTTTGTTTGTTATACTCAATTGTAACCAGTTATTGTACATTACACATTTATACACATTTGTGTGTTCATTGTTATTCGTTTAACCCTAATAGACACAAAAAAAAAATCATGAAGTTTATGAACCATGTAAAAACGGTTAACCCAAAAATGTGCATGATATCATAACATCTAAATGAACTGATGGAATTATTGAATTATTCAAGTCAGAAAGAAACTGATCTCAAGTTAACCTTTGCCGGTTACCACTTTTAAAGCAAGTCTGTCTTTCTTGTATATGCATCGCATGATCTAAAATTCATAGAATTAGTGTGTATTGATATTTATTCATGTTCAGCTGTCAAATGACATATCATAGAGAAAATAACAGCCAGTGAATTTGTGAGTTCATTTCCATTATTAATGCTGTATGAACCTGTATGCAAGTGCTAGAAAGAGAATGAGTTGGTATTAGGTGCCAGGAACCAGAAAATGAGCACGTGTGTTTTGTGGCAGGGGCGATCGCGGACAAGGCTGTGCTATGAGGAGTGACATATCCTGTTTCACAGAGGATTAGATATGCCCGTTATAGGTTATATCACATAACCTTTGAGAAAGTGTGTGAGTGTGTGTACTGCATACTTGTTTTTGTTGCTTAGATACATAAGACAGCTGCAACTAGTCAGTGGGTAATGTAGGTCAGGACTGACGAGAATAAATAACTTTTATAGCAATAAAACATCGTAAGCACATCAAAATGGCATGTTGTTAGATATGTGATTGCACAAAGATGTTCATCTGTGAGGTTACAAACACTCTCACTGAACTGAGCTCTTCATACAATAGTGTTT